AAAAGAATGTTGATCTTGAAGGACTCCAGACTTTTCTTTTGACTCTGTGAAAACTGTCTTCCTTAGATTGGCATTTCTAGATTGAGTTTTCTAAAAGATTTTGTGGAGTATAAATATGTCATCACCTGAAACCATCCTCCTGTAGAAAATCACAGTGGAGCCATTTCCCTGGTAGAGGAAGAATAGAGCTGGTCTTGGAGAATTTTTTTTTTCTTAGTAATGGAAAAATAAATGTACTGAAGAAGTCAGTCCTTGGAAGGCTTTTGTGAGGTGGTTTCCAGCTGCTTGTGGAAAAAAAGTTAGGGCAGCTCAGTAGTTCTACATCATACATGAAAAGTGAAGACTGTGTTTTATTATTATAACAGGGCGAGTTGCTGTCACCGTGAAGGGCTAACATGTCATTATATTTTTGTTTTCTTTACATTACTCTTCTCAAAGCCACCAAAGTTCTGACTTTGAATGCATAGCCTTCTTTTCTGTCCTATCACACAACATACATTATAGTTCAAAAGTAAAGTGTCCTAACAAAAAATCACCTCCCCAGTGAGTTCCAGTTAACACTTCCTTCTATGGGTCTGCATACCTAGACAAGGCTGCTCAGGAGCTGGAGGGTTCTGTACAGGACTTGCCACAATAATCTGCCTTGGGTTTAAAATAATCTCCCTGGCATGCTGTATCTTGTTGCCTCCCAATAGAAATAGCTCCTACCAGCTGTTTCTTTCCACTCCCATCAGCCCTAAATGAATAAATATGAGACAAACGGCTGTTTAGTCATCTTGTTGGCATCTATATTCTACATTGGTCTCCCTCAGTTAGAAAAATATTTGGTGTATCCCGATTCAACCTGCTGCACTCGTATTTACAGTCAGAAGACACAGTCCTCTTTCTTAAAATATCCTGACGTGAGTAACACATGAAGGCCAGGAATACCCTGGGCCAAGGGTTAATACAAACTCCGGCTCTTGTCCTCTGTGCACTTAGTTTTCTTTCTTGGCAGTCCTTGACCCTCTTAAAGAGCAATGGCCTTCTTAGCAACACCTACCTGCCAGCAAGACTGCAACCTACAGAGTGTGTGTTTCATTTCACAGACACTAGAGAAGTTCAGCTTCCCTTGGCAGGACATTGCTTAATGGTGGTGAGAAGATTCCAGACTCTTCTCCATGTTCCTCCTCTTTGAAGTTAACAGCCTGTCCAGAATAAAGTATATGGCATTTACCGCCTGCCCCTGACAGTTGTAGTCTCAGATAAAATAAATAAACCTCCTGTGGGCACTTGCTTTCCTCCTTATCTTCTGCCAGCAGCAGCTATTCAGTGTGGCTCAGAGTCGTGGCTGTGTGGGGCCACGGAAAACCTTGTCCTCTGGCTGGAAGACGGAATGGTTGTTTACCTTACGATGGAAGACAGGATAGGACCGTTAAAATAAACTCTGATTTCCTTCCTTTCTTTATCTAAGGAGACTAAAGGGGTTCTGCACAAAGGACTCTTCGGTGTTGGCGGCTCCGTTTGGTAGATGGTCTGTCATCTGAATTGATTCTTTCCTCTAAAACAAATAATTAGAGTGTAGTAACCCCCTTTTCTTATTTTAACCTTTTTTGGTAGACTTCTCCAAATTCACATGAGTGAGATGGAAATAGTTCCCTTTCACTAAGGCTGTAGTCATTATTTAGGGATTCGGATCTTATTGGAATGTTTTCTTTGAATTTTTATTTTTTCAAAAGCATGAGCTCTAGTGAAACTTTAAAACTCATGAATCCTAAATATCTCATGAGAAAAGACTTCAGAAGTTATAACACAGTAAAACACTACTTTTCAAGTCCAGAAATAAACTAATACCTCTTTCTCCCCCACCCCTCATCTGAGAACCATACTTTTCTCTTTTTAGACTATTACAAGTTACATTGCATGTGTATGAGTCTGTGTGTGTATGGGCTTACATGTAGGTGATCTGTGATAGGTTTTGGAAGAGTGGGAAGGGCAGCTGAAGAAGCGGTAGAACACTTCCAGGATTTTTAGGAAGGAATTTTAAGAAATTTCTTGATAGACATAAGAATTTCACATATATTATAACAGTGACTGCACCTGGAGATACTATGTATTATATGATCTCATTCTATTGTTCGGAGTAAGTTACCCCCCCACACCCCTCTAATCCCCACCCCACCCCCGGTCTCCAAGGGTTGTTTTAATGGCTTCCCATCATGAGGACCTACCATTGGCTCTATTTTGGGCACCACTTCTGGAGTGACTGCTTTCCTGCCCTATGGAAGTGAGAAGAGTTCTAGCCAATGGCTGGAGTGTTGTACACAGCTCCTATCAAAATAGGGCTTCAACAAATCTCTACTTTTACCAAGTTAGACCAGTTGAAGCTGGAAAATAAAAGAATAACTAATGATATGTTGGCTTCAACAGGTCAATGCTCAGTTCAGCAGATAATTATTGAGCACTATCTATACACTTGAACTGTGCTAAATATACATAACATATAGCAATATTTATGTTTGTTATCTGCCATGGGATTTTTATACAATACATATAATTTTATTTATTTATTTATTTATTTATGTACCTACATACATATGCACACACATGCACATACATACACATTAAATCCTACCTATATAAGCACACATGGAATAATCAGAAAGTAAAGTGATTGGATTACAGTGTCAGCTACGACCTTCCCCGGTTCTGTTGAATAATCTTCACTCTCTTTAACTTTTGCAATATCAGTCCAGCTGAGCATGGAAGAAGACATTAGCAGCCCTAACTTACTAGCACGTGAACAGAAAAGTAAATTTTGTTGTTTGAATTCAGCGTCTGGACTCCCTGTACTTTGAGAGCTCATCGAGGAATTACCTGCCTGAATTTATACAACTGCATTTCTGCCTCAGCTCCCCTTTCCCCAACTCTTTCTTTTCTTCCATATTTTCATATGGATTTCATCTATTGTTGAGAGCTACCCAATTTATTACATCTCAGCAGTCAACATACACATGTACATATTTGTTCTCATGTGCACACATGCAAAATACAACTTACAATAATCTAAGTTTGATTCATAAATTGGAGGTGGGTATTATCTGTATAACTTTCACTTGTGCCCTACTCTATGGAGCTCAGTGTTCCCAGTCTATTCCCTCCTCCCATGACTCTGCTCTAATTGGAATAATAGTGGGAACCTATAATAGAATACCCTCTCCCTCTGGTTGTATTCAGCCCTTCCTCATTACTTTCCTGCATTACTTCCTCATTACTTTCCATAGAGTAGGGCACAAGTGAATACAACCAGAGACTGTCATTCCACCCTGGACTGAGACAACCACAGTCACCAAGAGGGTGATGTTTGGACTGCTGACTACACAACTTACTATTTTTATAGTTCTCCATTCTAACTGATTCCATAGTCCTTCTCTTTGCTCTTGCCTGAGCTAGGATGACCATTATTTTTAGAATTTAGAGAAAGCAGTGACCAAGAGAGGAGGAGGTGTTAGGGAGCATTTTTGGGCCTTGAATGAGTGGAGTTCATGTTATTATTCCAAATTCAAAAACCTTTCTAAAGCTATAGAATTATAGTCTTACAGAACATTAGCACTAAAGGCAACACATGCACCTGATTTGACTCATTCTCCATATCAGATGGCAAGATTTAAAAAAAAAAGTATCCAGAATGGAATAAATCTATGCAGAAAGAGATGGTCTCCTAATGCCAGGGGAGGTGAGTTTGGGAACATGCCTTGGTGCAGAGCTGCCATGTGGCACAGTGCTGGTGCCATTGCCATTTATCTAGGTAACTGGAACTGCCTGGAGGGGGGCCATGTCTCCCTTGCAGGACCACATGCAGAGGTTCTCTATGGTAGCTGTATCTCTTAAGTTTCGGACAAGGAAGTCACCCTGTGAATCAGACAATCCAAGAGCTTGCCCTGAACAATGAACAGAAACAAAACTGTGATGCATAAGGTTGGTTTGACTTCAGTTGCCCTTAGATCCTTGTTCTGTCCACTTCCTCACTCCAGCCTAATTATAAGTCTTTTCTATAGAGTCTTGGTCATGCAGAGAGGCTTTCTTTTTGGTCAAGCCTGTAATTCCAACACCTGAAACTGAGTGCTAAGTAGTACACAGACACGGATGGTAATACAACATTTATTTAATGAATAAATGAAGGATATTGATCGTTTTCTTGTGTTTCCCCCCATTTCCGTTCTCTAGCTTCTTGTCTGGAGATAGACTTGATATTGATAGATTGCATCTTAATTTCCATAATTTCCTAAGTTGAGAATTATTTTTATATCCATCTAACAAGACTTTTAGTTTCTGTTAACTGATTTTACTTTTTGAAGCAGAATCACTGGGAGTAAACTCTTGAAATCTGAATATCTGACTATTTGTAGCAAGCATCCTATGTAAGTTTTATGACAATTTATCAAAAAATTTAATAACTGAATATAAAGGTAGCAGGAAACAAAAATTGATTCAAAGAACAGTAATTAACCTAGAATACATAAAATATGTTCAAGAAAATATGCAATGAGTGCCTCGGTAGTTGAATTGAACTTATCTAGCTTTTTCATAGTATTATAGTGAATAAATATCACTTTAAGGAATAAGCACTTTGAAAGGGTTAAAAACGTCATATTTCTTCAAGGCAAAAAGAATTAATATTCAAAGTGCTAATTCAGATCCAATTTTATCTGTAAATGCAGTATTTTTTTAAAAAAAAATCCCTTCAAAACCTGTTTCCTTTTCCCTTTCACAGACCTTATGATCCTTCAAGTTAAAAATTAAAATTGCCGCTAAATAAAGAACTGGATTTGCAAAAACACATATCCATTGCATTTTTTAAATTTTGAATATTCTGTATTAGTTTAGGAAAGCAGTTGATTTATAGTTTTAGGTTTTTTAAAAGTTTATTTCATTATCTCTTTTTTTTGGAAGATTTCTAAGTATCAGCCAAGACTTAACCATTTAGAAAGTGAATCATTTAGTATTTAGAATAATAGTACCTGTTGCAATACAGCTGTTTCTAAATGATTTCTTTGAATTGCAGCGAGTGCTCTGCTGGTAAGTGTTTGACAACTTCTTTGCAGCACTTTCCCATTTCTGTAGTGTAGATACTGCCACCAGGTCCAAGTTCAAGCTATCAATGTGAATATCAAGTTGGGAAGTGAGCACACTATTATGTACTATGACCACCATAGACATAATAAATGTAAAGGACCTTAGAGTACAAGTAAAATCATCAGGAAATCACAAGTTTTAAATACTGACTAATTTTGTATAAATTAATATAATTTATATTTTGATAGTGATTATGTAAAAATCAGGGTTAGAAAAATTCCTAAAAAATATCTATTGGCCTTTGCAACTCAGGATGAGCCAGCTAAACCACACCAAAAAGAATCTTTGTAAAAATAAACTTCTTGAGGGTGGGATCTGAGCTTGTCATATGGACTTACTGGTATATATTCCATGACAAGTAGAATTTTAAGCAGTTGTATGTCACCACCAATACTATGAGGATGATACTTCAATTTAAAAAATTTAAGATTCTTTGTCAATCAGACTTATTGGCAGAGCTTTCCCATATTTTAGATAATTGGTTGCTTTCACATGAATCTTCTTCCTTTATACTAATTCAGATGGGTTTCAGTATAAATAGAAGAAGTACAGAAAATGAGAACTCTTCCTTAGAAAACTTAAAACTTGATGCATTGTGTATTTGTGGTAAAGCCATGATCTTAAATATTTTTTTTCTGTGGCTGTGCTAAAGCTTTGGGGGTATGGGTTCTTGGCTCTTTCCTTATTTTCCAAGTTATTCCTAGATCTATTCCCAGAATGACTCATCAGGAATAATCCTGTTATTCAAAATAGAAAAGGGAAAATAGGTACATTGCACTTGTTTATTGAGAAATCATTCCATCCAGACAGGTGGAACCCTGTTCAGACCACCGTCTACAAGAGACTGCTTACCCAGTTTGACCCTCTGGTCAACAGCAGTCAAGTACTACATAGAACCAAAATCTCTCTATTTCTTAAATATACCTAATAGTTATTTTAACTATAACATAACTATTATTTCACTAAGTACTGAAAGTTTATTTGCTTTATTTCTATCAGTTACTATATTTTGAATGGATTTGTATTTTCACTGTAGTTGCTATATTAAATACTGGAAATGCAGTTCATTCTGAACTTTAGATTTAAAAAATAGCATTTTAGTATAATTATGTCCTCTGTAGTATCCCGGACTTCTTTATGCTTCAAAGGTATTCCTTGTTTCACAAATTTAAATTTAACCAAATACCCTGGATTCTAATTTAAGTCTGGCAATTCTAGTTTTCTTAAGGAACGGGAAAATAGGACTGTTTCTATTAGTGAATATTATATCAGACACTCAAATATTAACAAACTGTTTTCTCTCTTATTGAATCCAAGTCAGCTGGCAATTTCCTACTAATTGCTAGCAATGAAATTATAGATCCACTAATACTTTTTCATCATCTACAGGGAATGAATATTCAAAAAAGTTTCTCTTTCCTGTTGCTGTTCTAATAATTTTGAAAGAAACAGCATTACAGCTTTTTTTTTTCATAAAGTTTTTGCACACTTCCTATTACAATTTTTTTCTGTTAACTTCATTGGTAAATATCAGTAGAATTATCCCAAGAGAGATACTACACAGGCCAGTTCCTATTACAAGCCTTCCTGCCTCCTTCTTATTAGTGAAGCCAAAATGAGTGAGATTATTTGTTTCTTGAAGCCAAAGGCTTTCCAATTCTCATAGAGGAGAGACCAGAAAAAAAGATCACTTTTGATTTCCTTTTTCATAAATCTGATTTTACTCTTTATTTAAGAAAATTATGGGCTGGTAGGTGAGATGATAACTAAGCCAGAGATTCTAATGTTTGTCCATTAGAGTCTCTCAGGATATTTTTCTGAACACCTTGTAGGCCATAAGAAATGCATAAATTCCCCATATTAACAGAGAAGTAGCTGGAGTATAAGTGCAAGAACAGATTACAGGGAGAGATTTTTTTTTCTTTATGAAGTGATATCAGCTCTCCAGTTAAGACCAAAACCACAAAAATATCAATTAGATCAATTAGAATTATAGATCTTCAGAAAAACACTTGGTTGGGGTGTTTTGCTTGTTTAAAATGACAAATTTATACATAATATTGTCCATTTTGCATTGAATTAAAATAATTCAATTTGACATGATATCACAGAGCTAATCAGATTAGGATTCATAGGATTATATTACATTGTTTTCTAGATTCCATTTGTACAGCATATAATTCCAATGGTAGCACAGTTATTTTTCTACCAGATATCAAAATTACTCATTTTTATTGATGATGGACAGATCAATCAGTGCTGTGAAATAACATTTATGAGAGCACATTGAAAGCAACACTCTGAAAATATAATCTTCATAATAATAATAATAATAATAATAATGTGCAGCAATACTCAGGAAGTGCTCTTTTAGATATGTAAATCTCATTAAGTCACTTTACTGATCAAAAAAGCCATCATAACTTCTTGTTCTCTTAAAATTAATCCAAAATAGTCTCTGTAGTCTAAAGAGCCTTTTATCTCCAATTCTGTGCCTACCTGTCTAACATCATTTCTCACACTTTTCCTGTTCTCACTCCATTATAGGCACGATGGCTCTCTTGCTATTTCCACGATACCCTAAGTCTCACTCTCTTTGGGGTTTCTACATTCACAATTATGTTCTGCCTCAGAGTCTTTGCCCATATTTAATTGAAGGGCTCTCCAAAACAGTACCTGCTCAGAGAGGATGTACTTGACACCATCTAACATTGTTTACACTCATCTCATTTCTGTTCTCATCTGCTTTGTTGCTCATCTTTTAATTATTTAAAAATATATTATTACATATTAATTTACTATGTCTCTCGGTGAAATGTAAATTTGAACATGGCAGATAATCCATCTATTTTTGTTCACTCTAAAAGTCTAGATTTTGAGAATAATATCTGACACTTTAGATAACCATAAATGTCTGTGGCTCTGGAAATTAGAACAAAGTTTAGCTCATTTAATAATCACCTTTATTCCACACAACACTTCATTTTGCATTATTTAGTATTGTCTTCTTCAGGATAACCTCTCAGGGGATTACAAGTTTGGGAGGGAAGGGAATCCCAACAAATACTAAAGTGCATTTTAAGTGCCTTTTCAGTGCATTTTGAGAATATCTTATTGTTGATTTAATTTTGGAGATTTTTAAGAAATTAAAATGTTACGAGGATAAGAATGTTCATTCTCATCACTTTCATCCAACATGGTAATGAAAAATCTAGGCACCATAATAAGGTAACAAGAAGCCAGGCATGATGGTGCATGCCTGTAATCCCACTGGCTTAGGAGGCTAAGACAGGAAGATCACAGTTTTGAAGCCAGCATCAGCAACTTAACAAGCTATAAGCAACCTAGTTAAGCACCTTTGGGTTCAATCCCTGATACCTCCCCCTCCCCCCAAAAAATATAAAGTAACAAGTAGAAAAAAAAAGCCATACAGACTGGAAAGGAAGAAAGACAACTATTATCTGCAGATGACATGATGATATGTGTGGAAAATTCCAACACCTACTTATAAAAGAAGAAAATTCTATAGTAATGTGAGTTCCACAAGCTTTCTAGATAAAACATCAACACATAAAAACCAACCATATTTCTTTGTTCCAACAACAAAATAGGGACACACAAGTTTAAAACATTACATCATTTGTTATCATGCTAAAAAACTGACTTATATTTAAGTGTAATTCTAGCAAAACAAAATATTTGTATCCTGAAAGTCACAAAATACTAATAGAAAGATGAAAGATTAATAAATAAAGAGGTATGTCATGTTCATTGATTAGAAGCCACATCATAGTAAATACATTAATTCTCACAAAACTGATCTGCAGTTGTATGCCAATTTGAGAAAATTGTTGGTAGACATAGAAATATTGTTCTAAAATGTATATGAAGAAAACACTGAGTCAAAAATAGCTAAAACAATTTGCAAGAGAAGAATGAAGCAAGAAGAACATAGCTACCTGATGTTAAAGCTATAGTAATCACGACCACATTGGTATTTATGGAGGGATAGACACATGGATAAATGAAAGAGAATAGAAAACCCCACAGAATGTGCCCAACTGACTTTAAACAGAGGCACAGAAGCAGCTCAATAAAAGGAAAATCTCTTGAAATAATGATGTCAGAACAATAATACATACATAAGCAAATAAACACACACAAACAGAAACTTTCATCTTAAACATCACAAAAATTGACTCCAAATGAAGCATAAACATATATAAAATTATATAACTATTAGAAAAATATAATGGAAAATTTCTGAGATCTAGGACTAGGAGAAGAGTTCTTAGGCTTGAAGCCAAAAGTGTGATCCATAAGATGAAAACAAAATTGAAAAATTGGACCTTGTCTAAATTAATAATGTTGACCTGAAAAAGATACTATGAAGAGTTGCAAAGATAAGTGACAGATTTTTGAGAGACTATTTGCCAATTATATATCTGACAACTTTGTATCTAGAATGTATAAAGAATTAAAATCTTAACATTAAAATATCAAATGATGCAATTAGAAAATGGTATTAACAGGTATTTCAAAAAAGAGGATATATTGAAGACAAATGGGGACATGAAATGATGTGCATAATCATTAATAATTAGGGAAATGTAAATTAAAACCACAATAAGATATTACTACATGCCTGTCAGAATGGCAAAGGGAGAAAGGTATTAATAAAAAATATGCTGGTAAAGATGCACTCATACATTTCTTGTGGACATGTAAAATGGTATACCCACCGCCCTTCTGGAAATATGTAGGGCAGTCTCTTAGAGAACTAAATCTGTACCTACCATATGAATCAATAATTATAATAATATTGGATATTTATCTCAGTGAATGAAACTTTAGTCCCCCCCACACACACAAACTATAGATAAATGTTCAGAGATCCAATTGAAACCCATTGTTTTCTGAAGGATAAATAAAGCTGAGCATGGTGGCACATGCTTTTAATCCAGTAGCTCAGGAGGCTGGGATAGAAGGATTGCAAGTTCAAAGCCAGCCTCATCAACT